CCTGTTCTCATTCATGTTGTACTTCTTTTGGACACACCCACTAATCATTCAAAGTGAGGGTGAAAAAGTAAACAAAATTAAGTATTTAATAACTGATCGAACCTCCTTTGGCAGCAATAACCTCAAACAAGCACTTCTAGTAACTGTGGATCAGACCTACTCAACACTCAGAAGGAATACTGAACCATTCTTCATTGTAGAACTGCTTCAGCGCAGACATTCCTAGGATTTCTGGTGTGAGCGGCTTTCTTGAGTGTCTCTATTGAGTTAGAATCTGTGCTTCAACTTGATCGCTCCAAAAAGTGGATTTTCCTTGTTTGAAGTCACTCTGTAATGTTCTGCTACATCACCAAACTACTACTGAACTTCAGCTGGTGAACAGCCACCCTGACATTACGACATTACGCTGTTAATAAACTTGGAATTAATTTTTCCTTTCGATAATGGCAAACTGTCCAGTCCCAGAAGCAGCAAAGCATGATGCTTCCTCCATGGTGTCGAGATCAAGTAATTTCTTTAAGCCTTTAGAAGAAGCAGCTTTATTTATTGTGACACACACAATGAAATTATGTTTAGAGCAGAGGCCCTGGGCCGCCGTGTGCATACGCACCACCATCACGGGCAACTTGGGGGCGTTCAGTGTCTTGCCCAAGGACACTTTGACATGTGGATTGCAGGCACCGAGACTTTGAAGCCCCACTACTGAGGAGAGTAGCCACAGTACTAAATCGTCTCTGTTTACAGACAGTTAGTCTAAATGTGGGTTGATGAATAATAAAACACTTGAATATTACTTTGTAATGCTTTCCAGCTTGATCGTAAGCTTTCTGAGCACAGTTCACATCAGCATATGTTTCAAGGAAATAGCAAGCTCAAAATAGTGTCAAAAAAGCTCTAACCTTTACAAACTGCAAAATTAAATGTGATGTACACAATAATCCATCAGTAATTATAATACTGGAAAATATGATATACATTAATGTTAAGTAAAAGATCAGAGTAACTTCTTCCACCACTGGTGTTTATGCACTAGTAGTTAAAATAGCTTGTGTTTGTTTCTACTAAATTAGATGGTCAAAGGTGAAGACCACGTTTTAAAACAAATGTATACATTATTAGATGCGTTTTTGCCACTGCATTTTTTTACATCACAGCTCATATTTTGTTATACGAGAGTTATGTGAAATATGCCAATGTTAAATTGTCAGCAAGTGTTCAAGATCTGTGTACACATACACACACACACACACACACACACACACACACATATGGTATGAACAACAGAGGTATCTGCCAAAAACAATAACTCATGGTACAAGTCATAAATCTGTTTGTCTTTACAACCTAACCTTTAGAAAAGAGAGACATCCTGACGCCAAGGCCATGCGTGACAAATACACACCTACGCACATGCGTGTGAGCAGAGAGCTCAGAGATGTCACGCATTAAAACACAGCTGCATGCACTGACACACACTTGCACCATATAATTCTTAGATTCCTGCACACACACACCTTGAGTTTTGTACTCATAAGATATCTGGACGATGCCATCATCTGCGAGCTAGGGAGCAAAGCCCTCAGAGCTGTCTGATGGATGCACTGTCATTTAGAGGGGCAGCGTCATGTCCAACACCAATGTCCAGACACTGTTTTCAGTTGTGATCCATCCTCATGTCAAAAGTGTAGAACACACAGAAACAACTTCATTAGCTCACTGGCATGCTCACTTTGAAATCTGAGCTCATATTTTTCTTTAGGCACACAATGTTTATCAGGAAGACAATTAACTTTAACCATCAAATCCAAGGCAGTTTCCTTTGCTCTCAGTGGGAGTTCACAAAAGAAACACAAACTGCCAAACCAAAAGTGCACAGCTTTAAAGATATCAAGTAAACCCTAGTGTTTGCTAAAATTTAGTGACACACTTCCACTTGTGAGTCCAGAATGTCTAGAACACTCACAGTTCTGGCTTTATGTCCTCGGCACTTATTTATACTTGCACATCCTTAAATCTTGACTTATAGATACAAATTTATTTTCACATTAAGTTGTAGCTGCTGTTTTCTGCTTGTTTTGTCATTAGTGTACTTCCAAACCCAATCAGTGACACTGAATTCAAAGTAACAATATATTATACATGTGTTTTTGCTCTTATAAACATTAAGAAGATATGAACTTTTAGCCTTTTATTCTAAGGCAACTGCAGTGTTAGGCTGATCAGAATTACGTATTCAACAGAAGCATGACTTTAAATGAAAGGTAGTAAATTTGGTTTATCATTAAAGAAACAGTTTGTAAACATTGCATGTGCATTTCAAGTACAATAGCACAAGTTTTGTACTGTACAATTTTTAGGTACTCAATTTTGACCTACTTTATACTTAACTATGTTTCAAATGTGATGCAATAGTTGCTAATTTGCAGAATACAACTTCACACCAGATCACTTCATAAAATATGATGCATTGATATTAATTTAACTAGTTAAAATGACAAATATATTAAAAATTAGCTTACATGTTAATGCATTAGTAATAATAAACTCATGATGTAAAATATATAATGAAACCCACCTACTGCATAAAAAGTACTTTTACTTTGAAAGAATTGTTTTGCTCAAAATTGTAATGCTGAACTTTTACTTAAAGTAAGATGTAAATACTTCTATAACTAAGAAAGGTGCAGATTAAGTATACAGTCTATGGTATCTTATGAAGCCCTATCTGGTGTATGGCGCCATCTAGTGGTAGCATCTGAAAACAAGTAGGCCAATATGTTCACTTTTCACACACACTAGGTAAGTCGGTAGGTAGGTACAGTAGGTACTTTATTGATCCCTCATTGGGGAAGTCTCAGTGTTTCAGCATCAATGGAGAACAAACAACATAACACCATGAGAAACAAACACCACACACATATCTTGATTTCAGTACCTCACTCACAGAATATAAATTTTATTCCCATTTATGATATTTCTGCTTTTGCCGATCCAAAATTTATGTTAAATTTATGTTAAATTTGTAGGGCCCCTGAAGGATTTTTCTTACCAGTTTTATCACCAAAGACAACTTTAGTGAGGTTTAATGCTATTGTGAATAAATTCCTCACTACACCATGCGTTATTATAACACTTAATGTTGGATGTTTTCTTATGCATGGTACAATTATCTATAACATACCATGGCCTTCTCTCTACCACACCCCCGTCCATCACCACCACCACACACTCTGCACTCAGACAACACCCCTTCTTTAGACCAGACCTCGTTGCCTAGCAACATCCTGCCAGTAGCCCAGGGGGCGGGAACAAGGCACTTGGCTTCCTCAGTAATTATAGTGCATGTGTGTGTATATGTAGGCTGTGTTTCTGGGCCACCGCAGGTGTGTCTGTGTGTGTCTGTAGTGCGGCTATGAAAACATGCTTAGGCTACAAACAAAAAGAAACAGAAAACCACACGAGCAGAGTGTATATCAGGCCTGTCATAGCAGCCATGTTCAGTACAGTTATTTGTCTTTGGGCCAAAATCACCAAGTCCTGGTAAGAAATGTGTTAGTATATGCCTAACACTCATCAATAAGACTACATAAAAAACATATTTGTTGATATGTTATAATTGTTTCTAAGTCAGTGTTGTTAAAAAGCCGCAAAATGTTGAAAGCTAAAGTTACTAATTTTTGCATATTTTGATGTAACACAAAGAACGCATGAACTCTTCATCAGTACTGAACACCTTTAAACACCATCCTGACTTTGTGCAAATGTGACAGGTGCATTTTAGTGAGACCTGTACTGGATGAGAGCCTATAATCTTAAATATTTCCCTTATGTGCCAGGAACAAAACCTCGCCAGACTTTCTACTAATGATATTTTTTGTTCAGTGAACCACAGCTATGACTCTACTGGACTAAAGTCCCTCATGACTCAGGGGTAAGTTTTTATGAAAAAGACAACCGGCAAAGGAGAGCCCCTTGCCCCAGGATGATAGTACATCAACATGTGGCTCTGTTTGCCAGGATGAATTTATTTAACATACAGATTTATTTTTAAGATTCTGAAAGGGGTTTTGGCATGTGGGTGAAAGACATGACTTCTGTTCCAGACTGTTACACAAGCAAGAAACTTCCGTGCTGCTGCAACAAATAACTTTTTCACCTATGTTCTCTATTTGCTCCTCTCTAGCCAAATATGCATGATTCAATTTTTAGTCCGAGTCCTGTCCAAAAGCATTTTTTAGACACTAGCAGCAATGTAATTTTTATAGCCAAATATTATTATGGTATGGCTACTTTGTTTACTTTAAACATAACAATTGCATTGTATATTTATTTTTACAAAACCCAGATATACTCAGTTTACTATAAGAAATGGTAAATATTCACATTTGAGAATTATGAACAACCAAAAAGTTAATTTGGCACCTTTGCTTAAAATGACTTTGATGTATCATCAAAATTGCTGTTGATAAATTTTCTGTTGACTGTTATCTAATAGTTATATTACAATTCTAGTAAACTGATAAAAGTCATAAAATCATCCCAAGAGGCTCACACTAACAAATGATTGACATTTGGAAAATAAAAACTTAAAATATTAATTACTGAATTTATTGAGTATTGATTTTATTGACCGACTAAATGATTAATTGACTAATTGTTTCAGCCTTGTAATGAATTACTCTGATACTGCCATAAAAGCTCCAAAGTTGTCTATACAGACAGGGAAATAAGTGGAACAAGGACTTGTGACAGAACGGACATTAACAAAATAAAAGCATTTCAGCAGAGGCAACACTGTGATATTTTTACTAGTTACAAATGCCCTTTTTTTCCTTTTGTAGTTTAACCATGGCTGTCATATTATGACACCAAAGTGGAAATACACGCACGCGCCTCTCTTTCCCGTTCGCCCAACCCCCCACAGCACAGAAGTAACCGCCCTATCCTATCGCTCTCACACCAACATGACTAACAACACCGCCGCTTCAACCGAGAGGAACCTCGGAGCATCATGGGAGTTGTAGTCCCGACAGCCAATTCCAGTTCGAGAAGGCGAGGCCTCACCAAAATACAACTCCCATCTCGACCCTCGCACGCCGAGCCCCGTCGTCCAATCTGAATATGTGGGAGGAGCGCGTCCGCCCACAAAAGGCACAGCTATCTCCCCGTATCTCCCCCTAAAAATATCAATTGTGCACGAAAAAAGGGAATACGCGTAAAACACAAACACTGGTGACGGTTTGTTTTCTGTGCACGACGGACGGCAACGAGGAGCCCCCGTGTAGCGATAGGAACGGCGGTGATAGGCAGGAGCAGCGAAGAGGGTGTTGTCCTGGTGCCTAAATGGAAGTGGGTGGGCCTCTACGGTCACACATTGCCAACTTCTCTCTGGATATCATTTTGACACAAGCTAATTTGGTCGTTTATGGACTGTCTTTCCACTGAGAGAGGCATACGACGGGGCTGTGAAAGGGCCGAGGGGCCGTGGACGGTTATTGTGTCCTCCGTTATTTCCGTTATTTTGGGCTGCTTGATTGTGCCTGCGATTGGCACCGCCCTTCCTGGCCGGTGGGTGGTTTCGTCAAGCGGGCAGATCCGCCACGGCCCAGCGCCGAACATATAGGCCGTCCTCCGCGTCTGTACCCGGCCGGCCTTCTACCGTGAACTACACCCTCTCCCTCTCGGTATATTAATGCGTTATGAGTGGTAGGTACCCTCCCCCACTCTGACAGATATGAGGATCCAAGCCCCTTTGATAGTCTATTGATGATGAGGTTACTGGTTTCTCCTCTGCTTTTATTGATAATCTTTGTTATGATATACCTGCATTATAATCAGATTTCACTTTCTCTCTATAGTGCCTACATAGTGTCTGCTTACCTTGGAACTTTGTACTATTCACAAATACTCATGTGATGGTATTACAACTGGAAATAATCTGACATCTTACTCTATTTTCATAGACTCGAAGAAGGAATCATCTGGAACTGAAGGAGGGAAAGCATCTAAAAAGGGGAAAAGTTCAGGCTCACAGGTACAAAAAAGAAATAGTTTGTAATAGTTCATCTCTTTTGCTTTGCCTGTAGGCCAAAAAATGTACTCCCTGGCCAGACACCTCTGGGGGCGTTTCTCTGGTGAATTCCACTTCCTGTTTCTGTGCAGCCCTGTTGAGAGCAAACCCTGAGCCTCATGAATAGGCTTATATGGCTGTCACACTTTAACCACTGTACTTTTGAATTGTCTGTCTGAATTAAGATCAAAATTATTAAATTCTGCATATGGATCTATTTTAAAGACTTGCAGCATTGGTATGTGGATCTACAACTACGAAATGCTTGTTTTTGGCTGCTTTTTACAGGTTAGAGATAATTTTCAGTCAGGCAGTTATGCTTAATTGGATCTTTTGTTGTTAAATATGTATGACAATCATTGCTGCTGTGGCATTTTCCACACTTCTGTAGTTCATACAGAACCTAGGCTGTTTCCGTGCAGTATTGAGAGGTGTATAGCTTTCAAAAATTTGCTTGCGACCTAGTTCCTTCAAAAGGGAGGAGAGAGAGAAGGCGGCATTTCTTCTAGTGTTCTGAGAAAAAAGAAATGTGGTTCTCACACGCCCACCCACTCACTTCCTGTAATACCGCCCACTTCCACTGACAGCTCTCTCTCTCTCTGTTTTTTTGTTTCTTTTTTCTGCACCATGTGTTTCCCCACCCCTTGCTCTTTTACTCTTTCTCTTCATCATTTCAAATTGTTCATTGTATGAGTGTGCATAATGACATCTGCCCATCCCTTCCCTTTGGCTTTTGTTTGTGTATGTATATGAGTTGAGTCTCTAACCTTGACTCACCTCTTCTCCTTCCCTGTCACTCCTGTTTAACCATTTCTCTCTCTGATCCACCCCTCTGTCCCTCTGACATCCTCTCTCCCACCGCCTCCTCCAGGATTCATCTCAGCCCTCTCCGCTGGCTCTGCTAGCGGCCACCTGCAGTAAGATCGGCGGGCAGGGGATAGTGGAGGGAGCCCAGGCGGGGGCCCAGCAGATCCAGCTCCAGGCTGGTCAGATCCAGCTCCAGCCAGGTCAGATCCACGGTCAGATAGTGGTGGACACAGCCGGGGGCCAGGCCCTGGTGCCCCAGCAGCTGGAACTGGTCCCAGCTCAGTTCACGGGGAACGGTTGGCAGATCATTACAGCTGCACCTACAATGGCCAAGGAGAACACCAATCAGCCTGTTGCTGTGACGGTGGCAACCACCTCGGCAAATGACAGCTCACCTGGTGGACGAAAGGTGAAGGAGGTAGGGGGACATAGTAGGCTGGAGCAAATAATTTTTTAAATTGTTTGTCAGTGTATGTCCTCTCAACTGGATTGCTGCTACTTTCCTGTTGCACAGGTGAAGGCAGTAGGTGGGACCAGCAGTGTTGTAGCCAATCAGCAGCAGCAGTTCCAGATCATCCAGGTTCAGAACTTGCCCAGTACTGGGGGTGGGGTCCAGTATCAAGTCATCCCTCATCTACAGACTGCAGATGGACAGCAGATCCATATCAGCCCAGCTCAGACAGCCCCCATTGGGGCTCTACCAGAGCAGGTTCAGCTCATCCAGAACCCGAGTTCAGGCCAGACGCAGGCCATTCTACAGCCAGCTGGCCAGCAGGCCATTCTAACAAGTACAGCCAATCAAACAGTCCCACTGCAGATCCGTCCTGCGCAGTCTTTCCCACTGCAGCTGCAGACTCTGCAAGGCACCCAGGCTCCTGTTATGACCACAGTACCCATAAACCTCGGTGGCATGACCCTGGCTCTACCTGTGATCAATAGCGTTGGAGGAGGTGGGGCTGTACAGCTTATCCAATCAGCAGATGGCACATTCTCTGTTGCCAATGGCAACCAGCTGGTGACAACAACAGTGTCTGGGCCGGCTCCTGCTACAGCATCAACTGGGTCAGTAACGACAGTAGCTGAAGGTGATAGCATCTCTGAAGGGGCACAAGTGGTTTCTGCTGGATCAGAGAGCGGACCAGCTGACACCCAAGTGCAGAGCAGTGAGGCGGACTCTCAAAGCCAGAATCAGGCCAATGGGCTGCAGAACCAGACAGATACAACAGGAACCATCCAACACGTGATTGTTGGCCAGGTGGGGCACCAGTTGGTGCAGCAGATTCAGCTGCAGCCCCAAACCCAAAGTCAGGGTCAGGCTCCAGGCCATCAGCAACCTCAGCACATTCAAACCCTCCAGCTGGCCCCAGGACAAACCCTGCAGCCTATCCAGGCCTTCCAGAATCCCGCCCAGGTCCTTATTCGCACCCCGACCCTATCACCGTCTGGGCAAATCACCTGGCAGACCCTGCAGCTGCCTGGTGGAGTCTCCCTGCAGGGGGGCCTTGGGACATCTGTTCCACAGCAGCTGACGCTGGCCCCGGTTGCTGGTGGGACGACAGTGGGGAGTGGAGGGCTGGTCTCCCTGAGTGGAGCTCCCCTGACTCTAAGTGCAGCCCAGATCAACCCAGGGTCAGGGGTACAGACAGTCAGCATTGCAGGACTGGGCACTGCTGGGGTTCAGGTGCAGGGCGTACCCCTCACCATTACTGGTCTACAGGGTAAGGACACACTAAGACCAACTGTGTGGATATAAATATATTGTGACTAATTACTGATCCATTCATTACCATAAATAAAAGAATGTTGTTGGATAGAGGGAGCAATATTAATTGTTGAGTTATGAACTTTTGAGAAAATATGAAGCACTAATGATTTTCTTGTTTCAGTCTTCCAGTCACTACTTGTGTGATTTATTTGCAGATCTTGTCCTTTTAGCGTTCTCTACAGTATTTTCTTCAGGCTACCACACAGAAAGTGCAACACTTATTTTGATTAGTACATTTACACAGTTTGTCATATTTATTCACCTTTCAGGTCAACCACAGGGTCAGGATGGGGTCAAAGTTCAGTCATCTCCAGTGACAGTCACTGTTGGCAATGTGGCATCAGGCTCATCAATGAGTCCGGACCAGTTGGGCTCCGTACAAAGTTCTTCAGATCAGGAGGGGCCGCCCAGTAAGAGGCTCCGTCGGGTTGCCTGCTCTTGTCCAAACTGCAGGGACGGAGAGGGAAGGTACATATGTATTAGAAACACGTAACGCATAGGTAACAGCAAAAACTAAGGTTAAAAATACAGTTATTGAGGAAGCAACCGGTCTGTCTCATTTTGAAGGGACATATATAGGGAAATCAAATTAAACTACAATTTAAAAAGCTGTACTAAAAAACAAGTTTCATGCAAAAACTCACAATGAAATAGATTTTTGGGCATCAAACTCTTTCTGGACTTCCTTAGTGGAGTCTTCACTTTTTCACAATACCTGCAGGTCTCACTGTAAAAACAAAATCAGGGGAAGTCAATTTGATTTTGGTTCTCCTTAAATTTAAGACTACTTGTGCTCATAAACCCATGTGTACATTTTTATGATTATCCCTAAATGACTGGTGACTGTCATGTCACTGTCGGACGACTGCTTTGACAGATGGACAGAACACAGTGCAGCTTGGATCCTAAAGTAATAGATCCAACCTCTCACCACTCAGCACTTCACATTGCAATGACAATCTGGCACCCAAAACATAGACTATTCAGAGACCAGGGAAACGTATTCCATTTTCTGCTAAGTGTGGCTCATAAAAAGATAATTATAAAACAGGGATTGTTTAAAGTGCATTCATTATAGTATCTGTTTTGGATATTGCTTCTGTGTTACAAAAACAAGTGATTCAAGTAGTGCTTTTTTATGATTTAACTGAAAATTATAACTAAACTTAAGGTGCTTTAGTGAAAAAAAGGTTGCTTTAAATCCTGAAGGCTTTTACAAAACACAGGCATACCCCTCCAGCTTACTTCTAACCTGAGTGTGTATTGTAGGAACAGCGGGGACCCCACAAAGAAGAAACAGCACATCTGTCACATGGAGGGCTGTGGGAAGGTCTATGGCAAGACGTCCCACCTGAGGGCCCACCTGCGCTGGCACACCGGTGAGAGGCCGTTTGTCTGTAACTGGATCTTCTGTGGCAAGAGGTTCACTAGGAGTGATGAGCTGCAGAGACACCGGAGAACACACACAGGTAGGAAAAACGTATGCAGGGGTGTAGACTGGTGCTGTGGCTCACGTTAGTCACATGGACAATGTTGGGCATTTTACTGAAGTTAAATCAGTACTGAATCCATCCTCCTTTCAAATCCCTTATTAAAATGATTCAGGTGGTCTGAGTTCCTCACATTCCGACTACTTCTCTCAGCCTCTTACCTCACTTATTTGTCTTTTCTCCTCTAGGAGAGAAGCGCTTTGAGTGCCCTGAATGCTCTAAGCGCTTCATGCGCAGCGACCACCTGTCCAAGCACATCAAGACCCACCAGAACAAGAAGGGCAGCGCTGCAGTGGCAATCATCACCACTGATGACATGGAGGAAGATGCGCCCGAGAGCCTGGGCACCGCCCCTCAGATTGTCGCTGTGGCGACCCTCACACGTGACTCTGACCCCACCACCTCTAACCACTTGGAGGAAGAGGAGGAAGAAGAGGAGGAGTTTGAATAGGTGACTAACACCTCTTTCTTCACAGAAGGCTGACTTCCTGTTTTTTGGGAGTTCTTGCAGGGACTTTTAGGGTGGATAATATTTCTTTTCTGTTTTTATATTTAAGTTTAGATCATTTAAAACATGTTCTCTCATGAAAAGGGACTCAAAAGAGACAGGATCATGTGATGAACAGAAAAATATAAACATCACAATCTAAAACAAATAAACTAACACATAACAAAAATTTAGCCTAAACCTACAAAAGATTAGTTTGGCTTTTATAAATCAATCTATAATAATTCCATGCACAATGGGGAAAGGAATGTAAGTAGTGTCTAGATTAGCACAAGACAGGGGGATCTGCTGAATCTAAACCATCCAACATTGAGACATTTCCCTAATCACAACAGAATCAAATTCTATGCACAAAGTTGTGTTCCTGTTTCATACCTGTCAGACAGTGCTGAAGGTTAATCATGGTACAGCATTGTTGCAGAGCAGTGACAAAGCAGGGACAGTCTTGGGATGGTGTGTATGCACGTGTGAGTATATGTGGCCTGAATGAATGCGTGTGCGTTTGTATTCCCACGCTGTCATGAAGAGGATCTACCTAATTTGAGTTTTATTCTTGGTTCAGGTTTAGTCCTCAGATCAGATTCAGGTGCTGATTCCTTCCAAGACCAGTCAACGGATAAACTGTTATTAAAGAAGAGAAGGGAGAAGTAGAAAAAAAGTAGAAAAAAAGCACATATGAAAAGATTTATAAAATAAAGCATTCCTATCGAGTCATAGTGGCCATTAGAAAAAAGGTTTCTATAGAGAAAAAAACAATCTAGCTTTCTACAACTTTGTGTAGTGAAAGCAATACTATAATGACAATCCTAGTGAAACCATGTTTACATTGTCAGGGGAAGTTTTCTGTTAATAAAACAAGCCAGTTCGCCCTAAGATTAATGAAAACATCTGAAAGCAGTGTTGTCCTCTGTCTTCAACATCACCGCTGTGACTACCATCAGATGGTAATCACAAAACCGTCGTTCCATCAACCTGCAGTCGCCATCAGATGGACATCGCAGGTAGATGGAACAACAGTTTCATCGCGTGGCTGCACTGTTAGTGATGTCGCTTTTCACATCTTCCTCTGCGCTGGTGAGGACCCCTCTCCACCTCTAAACCTGATACATGACCAATGTACCACAGTTGCCTTAACACAAGCTGTTGTACAGAGGGAACTTCAGAGTTGGGGGGTGACACGGAGAGCACACCACAGCACAGGGAGGTGAAGGGAGACGGCGATACAAGCTGAGGGTGGGCACGGGTCGGGCAATTTAGCTATGTGGATATTTGAGATGTTTTCTGGTGGTGTTGCTCTGTCTTAGTTCAGTGCGTACATTATTTTAAAATTAAAAGATATGTTTATATTATTGAATATATCAGTTCTTTTAAAAAGCCCCCCTCAAGTATGTTAACACACAGGACCCCACTGTGTATGGCTAATTTATTATTTATCTTTGATTTGTAATGTTTGCCTTTTGCTGGACTTGGTATTTGTGTGCGTTCATTCTGAGGTTGTGTACAGCATGTTTCAGTTTTTTGCCGTAGTGCTGCTTCTCTCTTTGTGCTTCTGTTCTTTTTTTTTTTTTTTACCTCCGACTACGGCTGTTAATTTCTTCTCCTTTGCGCCATAACGTGTTTTTGGAGAAAAATAAATAAAAAAAGAAGACACCTAAAAAAAAAAAGTTAACATTGTTAAAGCTGAAAACGTTGATACCAAACAAAATAGATGTTTTTGGTAATGTTTTGTGTGACAACCAACTTTTTTTTTCTTTGATATTTTGTAGTGACATCTCATTTGTAAATCTTTTTCTAAAGATGTTTGTTCGCCTCCATGACATTTGATAATGGGTTTTTGCCAGGTTAGCCTTAAAGGCTCCAGTTAATTGATATTTTTAAAACTGGTTTGTAAAAACGTGTTATGTCAATAAAAAAAAAAAGAAAAAAACTTCAAGCTGGAAAAAAATGCTTTGCCTGCATAACACTTGACAATAAAGTGATTAAAACCGTCTTAAAGGTCCTCTCTGATGCTCTGGTATTTGTTTGTATCGATCAGATGAAAATTGAAAACAAAAAAATCACAACAATGAAGCAAAAGCAAACTGATGCCACGGTGATCTATTACCACTCACTACTAACACACACACACACACACACACGTGTGTAAACTGAGGTATGCATGTGAATGGATAATGAAAAACCTACTTCAGAAAACACGATCAACAAAACAGCCCAACTGAAACTGAGCAATGAGCTGAGTGCGACCTGAGAGTTCACCAGCACTTGTTCACATACTGTACCTTTGACATGTCACTCCTCTACAAAATCACCTACAGTAAATGTACACCAAAGTAAAAAGGAGAGTGAACTCTCAAAACATTCAAGGGACAGATTTTTGATGTTTTGTCTCTATTATAGTAGATTTTGATAAGGAAAAATAAATCAATAAGACCTCTGAATACAGGTGTTCATCCCTGGGACTGTATAAAGGTTTATCACCCGTCTGTTGATTTGTATCAACAAAGTAATCTTGAGTGTATACCCCTAAAACAGATAATTAAGATAGTTAATGGGATAAAAGCAGCACCAGGCTATTATAGTATAATTTTCTATTTTTACACTCACTACACTATAAGGAAAATCCATTGACCTCAAGCTGACCCCTGACTGTGCTGTGACCACTGGACTACCTGGTCATTACAGGGGACTGGCTCTCCAGGTGACCTAGACTTGATTTTGCTCATTTGGGGAAATGCGACCAGGTACACAGCAATTACACCCACATTTGTCTTATCCTGATGCAGCATAAAAGGTGTGCACAGCTGCACTAAATGTACAATGTTAGACTTCATTTTCCTCCATAAATACATGTGTATTGTGGACATCAGTGACAGCGGACACAATCACTCAACAAATAAAATCCTGCAGGAATATTTATATACAGAAACATGGAAAATCATTAGATAATACTATTCTTTATTAACATTTACAGTGAATTGACAAGAATGCTTTATCACTTTTAGACAACTAGCCGGTATAAAAGGCTTCTTTTGCATCTTTAACACAGAAAATAGTAACATTTGTTCTACAGAACATCAAAAGTAAAAATATTCAACTCAAAATTGAGTACTGGCTTAAAAACATAAAAAAAGAGCCTAGTATGTATACAGGCTTAAATCAGGTTACAGTATATAAAACATATAAAACAGTGTATGTACCTTGTCTCAAGGTCCTTTTGTTTCTCTAGTTAGATAAAATACCTACCTAAATCTAAACAAGTGCGTTAAAATGAGTTAAACAGTACTCTGCAGCACTAGAACGTCCTCCAGGCCCGAGCTGTACGAGCAGTTTGTCCTCTCTGACCAATACTCTGGACTTTACTGCAGCTCCTTCCGAAGGCTGCAATGGAGAAACAAAACAAGTCTTGAGCTCTGTCTGGTTTCAGAATAGCTCTCGGTAGGGCTAGCACTAATGATTAGGGATGGGACGGTATGATTTTTTTTTTTTCTCAATACGACTCAATGTACAATATGGTGGTTACAATTCAATCTAAGCACAATACAACTCAACATTCAATGACAACAATGTATGACTAGCTGGGGAATACTTGCACTTTATTCCTCTTTTTTTCCCTTTTCTAGCACTGGTTTGATTACGTAAAGAACCAGATATATTGACTTACTTGACCGCACGATATATATCCCTAGACTAAACGATACATATTGTGACAATTTTTAATCACGATATACTGAATGTCAATATATTGTGCCATCCCTACTAATGAACATTGTTGTTCTTGATCTGTCAATAATTGTTCTGACTTTAGCACTAGGGTGATTCTACCCCAGCCTGAAACATTAAAATGTGCCATGAAAATTAGGCAATGTACCTCTCCAAGTACTCGTGGACATTATCGTGGCCGTTGTAGCGGGCTAATGTTACCAGGATGCCAGTGGCACAGCGCCCCTCCTTCTTACGACACAGACTGCAGTTACACATCCCCCGGCAGATGGGACATGACCACTCCTGCAAAGAAGACGTCCAAACTTAAAGTGGGTGACCAACAGTGTTCTTACTTGACATAAGGAAATAGTTCAGTTGAAATGTCCCTTATACACTCAAGTCAATTTTCACATCACTTGTCTTTCATGTTTCTGGGATTTAAACCCCTGAGTTCATATAAAATAGAGTTGAGCTCAAATTTGTACAAATGTTCAAATTCTTCTTTAAACTGCTTCTTTGCTGATGATGATGATTATGATGATGATAGGCATTGCATTTCCCTGTGATATAAAAATGTAATCAATATGCTTTGTAATGTGTTAACCTCCGTTAGCACAACAGCTACTCGCTCCGTCTGCTTAGTTTCACTTGGTAACTGAACGTTGCACAAAATAAAGTGATGAAAAGATTTTCAAACATTATCCTGAGCTCCTAGGAACAAAACAAGGTCAGTTGTTTTCAAACACCAGCTAACATGCTATTATTAGCAGTGAATAATGCTTAAAAAAAAATCCCCTTTTGTAAAACAACTGTTTGTGTCTGTATGTTTACTATTACTTCTGGTTTGGACAAAGTGCCTTTACTTTACAGTCTGCATCTTTTTTTTCCTTGGATTTTCCAGTAATTAAGTTTGCTGTAAGTTGCTCTTTGCTTTATCTGTTCATCTGCGTGTTGGTTCCCACTTTACTTAGTTCAGCTTGTATTTAAAACAAATGACCAGATTGCGGTTGCAGGCCACCTCCAAACAGTCGAGCTGCAGTTTACATGCATGTCACTCATATCTAGTGAAGACTTAAAGATATCAAGTGTATTTTTTTGACAAAATGGAAGTTATCACTATATTGACATGCATGATTCTAGTGACTCATTTCCAGAGAGAAACGTGCTGTCTTCACTTAGCGAGTATGTCAGGTTTGATGACCTTTGGTTTTCTTCACTGGTGTCTGTTCAATCTTGGAAGACACCACATCCACCTCAACTTTATCAAATCCAGCGTGAGAGAAAAAGAAAATGTTTTCCACATGTGTATTAACACTGACCGGGTCAAGCAGCACAGTGCGTACATCCTCTCCATAGCGGTTCTTCAGGCAAGGCCCACAGAACTGACCTTTGTGCCCCACACAGAAACCACTTCGACACACTGTCTTGGTGTCCAGAGTCTTCTGTCTGCACTGGTGACACGAGCTGCCCTGGAAAAAAAAGAAACACACACACAGTAAAGAGCCCTAGCAAACCTGCCGGTATGGTATGGTAGCAGCAACTCTAAGTAGGCAACTCTCTGACGTGACTGACGTTCTCTTTGTCCCAGATCTTGTCTTTGCTGCGGTATGCTATGTTGTCCAGGTCTTCCTTGGTGATCTCGTCGACTGACTTTATATACTGTCTCCTTCTGGAAACGTAGCCCTTCTTCCTCTGTCTCTCCCTGACATGGTCCTCGGCCACCTGTCCAATGACAACTGATAGACTGTAGATACGACTGAGAGCACACAAACAGGATACTGCTATGAAGCCAATAATGTATGTGCGTGCGTGTGTGTAACATAAACGTCAGCACGCTGTGTCAAGTGTTTGTGCATGTCGTACCTCCACCAGTTTCCTCATGTCTACAGTACTGGGGCTTCTACGTGTGATTGGCTCGCTCTTTTCCTCCACTCCAAAGTTCACAGGAGGACGAGCTTTACGGGACGGGTTCCTCCTCTCTGACCCTGTCTGTGATTCAAACTTGCGTTTCCATGGCACTGCTTTCTCTGGTGTTTGCTTCTTCTTCTTCTACAGCAACACAAAAACATTTAAAAAAAACTATTAGTTTTACAAAGCTTACTTGTTACAAATGTAGGTAACGCAACCTTTATGATTATTAATGTTTAATGAATGGTTCATCTCCAGCTGAATGCATGTTAGTTTTCCTGTTATAGGCTTGTGAGATACTGGTGCATGTACTCACTTGAGGGGTGGTGGGCAGAGCCAGGTCAGCCATGGTGCTCAGATCAGCAAACAGCTTAGCCAGCTAGGCAACAGAAAGGACAAGTGTCGAGTGACATGTGACAACAAAGAGACTGGTATCATTTTATTACACAGGTCACACAGTTTGCAAGAATATGGAGAAAACACAAAGGGTTGCAAGGGTTTGTTACCATGGCCTTGTTTTCCTGGATGTTCTTGTCTCGTCTCCTTAGACTCGGAGACAGGACCTCGTCTTTGTCTTCTCCCTCTGTCTCCTCCTCTTCCTCATCCTCCTCCTGCTGCTTCTGCTGCTGCTTTGTCTTCGTCCGTCCTCTGACTCCCCGTGGAGGATGAGTTTCTTTCACCGGCTTGGTGACATTTTTCCCTTGTGGATGAGACCATTTTTTGGGAGTAGTTAGACCTTTCATGGGAAACCTGAGGAACAAGATTAAAGCATAATTATTTTTCAACCACTGGAGGATGGTTGAATGAAGACAAATGTCTTTAAATAATCATGTGGGCAAGAAGGCAGATACACTGGAAGAGTAAAACTAAATCTATGTCCAAATCATAAATGCTGCCCTCCTCACCCCCAACCATGCAAATACATCAGATTCTTCATGTTTGTGGCACTAAAGGAAAATAAATGATGGGTGCCATTCAAATATGGTACAAGGGTAAAATGCATTTGTGCTGCAACAACCTATGAATCCGGGTGTTTCTGGTACAGCTGATCAAATAGGATCAGTTTTCCAAAAGAAAAAAAAAAGCAGCTCTTCCTTTGCTTATTTACTGAGTTACACACACACACACACACACGCACACACCTCAGGGCCACTAAAAGACTCCTCCTTTTTGGTGGGGAGACCTCCTCAGCATCAGAGCAGAGGCCTGTGTCTACGTCACTGTCCTTCTCCGAGTCCACCACCTGGAGAAAACCAGAGAGACAAAGCTTGCAGGCTGCTGCTTTGCCTGCAATATCACACACAATGCGATCAAATAATATAGCCAACAACAGATGTTTCATACCTTGGTCTTCAACCCTTTTTTAAAACATCCTTCCTCATCCTCACTGAATCCTTCAAACTCCTCCTCACTGTCTGACTGGCTGAATAGATGAGCAAGCTCAGCAGTGATAAACTTGGATTTGAAACATGGAGCCTGTTGGCAGACATATTATGCATCATATTAAAACTTGGCAGAATAGATGACATGTTTCATATGTAGACCTTATCTTCACAACCCAGAGTTAGAAGTATGAATTCAACTGATTAAGGCTGATTTATGTAATATTAATGACTGTGACAACAATGCACTTCCTGTATTGTGTAAATTACAGCCACGAGAGCTTTCTGGGCCATTCATTGATCAGATCATACAAGAGCTACTAAAAACAAAAAGTTAAGCAACAGAACCATTTCTATGATCAATTTTCAAACTCTATAGATAAGCATAAACCCATCAGCAGGCATTCTTGGACACCAAGTGAAAACTGTGAACAATGACTTCTGTTTAGCTGCGTCACTACGTAGCATGCCACACCACAGGAGTAGAACCCGGCTGTCAATGAAGTAAACATGTTTTCCTGAGTTTCCATTAGCAAACACCAAACTAAACCAAAGGACTTCCTTATCACCTCAGGCATGTGCAACCTCCCAGCCACACCATGACAGGGCCATTTAAGACTAATGACAAAGTGAAGTGGAAAAGGAACCAACACAACCTTTACTTCCTTTGTTTGGGACCAACACACCCCAGTGCTGTTGTGCATAACACATTTTCCTTCACATATTAAGGAACCAACACAACCTTTACTTCCTTTGGTTGGGACCCAACACACCCCAGTGCTGTTATGCATAACACATTTTCTTGTACTTTGACCCAATTAAAGCCCACTAGGTACTAATGTTTTGAAGCGGCAGATGCACAGTTTGGGTGGGCATATTTATTGAAGGTGATCAAATGACATTACTATACAAAGTAAGGTTATATTTCCTTAGTTCAATATTATAAATATTTATTTTGCATTTGAGGTGAGATTTTGCTGGGTTAAAAGTAGTGTCCAAACCATTACAGACCAGCCATTGTATTTAAACTGATTTTACAGCAAAAAAAGAACTCATACATTTTTCTGTAGCTGACATTATAAACAAGTCTTCATTTCAAATCATTATCAGTAGTTATCAAAAAGCTAGGGGAAAATATATCAAGCTAACAAACCAATGTTTAAGTGTGCTTATTTTAAGCTAATAAAGAGGGCCTAGGGTCTTCAGGACCAAAACAGAATAGGCCT